CAACAAACAATGATCAAGGCATAATTTAAAAATATAAAAATGTACAATAAAATGTGGTGTAACAAGCAAACAAATAACAGTACTTTAAAACAAGTATATTATAAAAGTGGCAAGTGTATTTAAATATAGAAACAGAAAGTATGTGCAAGGGTATATCACAGTAAGAAAATGTCCTGGGGATGTAAGCGTCGGAGTCAGTGGGGGTCACAGGCTTTCTTTATGAACAATTAACAATACTTACATGCACACTCACAAACTAATTTAGAGTGTTATCATTACTCAGCAACTATTTTTTGACTATATAAGAGTTAAAAAGCCTTTAACACTGACTTTATCAAGACACTCAGGTTTTATTCAATTATGTGAGTATTGAGTTTTGAATATTTAACAGCACATCAAGACAAATATGTAGAACATTACTAAGAGTCTGAAGACAAGAAGATGAATTTTACATGGCTGGAATACCTACATACTTTGAAATGTTAGTTTTACTCTCAGGTCAGATCAGGGAGTTTCATCATACAGTCACTGCATCACTTATCAACAAAAAGCCATTGTGTTGTATACAAAGCATGTTTGTATAATTTCATAAAGCCTCAAATGAAATGGATATAACGGTAATACAAACATCTTTTTATCATCATCAACCGGTAAACGATTCAATGGTATGAATACTACACATCTAAATGCAGACAAAACCATGATATTAAATACTTTATACTTCACATGTATACTAACAACAAAAAATGCAAAGGCCCACTTGTAAATTCAGACCGTTTTTATTTTGGAGTCGACTCAAGAAAATCTCTCTTTTCCTCTTTTTCTTACACTTGTATGAATGTCTCTCTCATGCAAGAGTAAATGGTAACACACACACACACACAAAACCAAACAACATTTTCAGCAATGTAACACTTGCACAGAGATGTGTTATTTATCACACACATGGGAATATTAGCTGCTTTGGATTTCAAAAATGTCTTGGCCACCCTGAAGACGAGATGGTGTTTACCCAAAACCAACAGGTGGTCTATCATGTGAACAAGCTGTTGATCTGTTTCCATTAAGGCAAATATTTGCAGTTTCTTCTTCTTTTTTTTTTAACAAATTGATACAGTGGATGAAGGCTTATAAATCAAATTTAGAAAATAGAGAATGGTAAACTAGGTTTGTTAGTGTTGAGAATTGTAGGCTTTGAGCAGCTGCACTGGTCAGATATGTCTTCTAATCTTATATATGCTTGTGAGCTTCCCAGGTTTTTTTATTTGTTTGTCATTTACCTTTTTTAGCACATACATGTTAACGGCAAACTTGATATAACAGTAGTGGCTTACACAATACAGACCATCCCATACAACAAAATGATAAGATAACAGGTGGAAAAATGAACACATTATCTTGTCATCTCTGCTTGTTGATACAAGCCGTACTGGAACATAAACACAACTCAAAATTATGATTAATATTAATTGTAATTGAGAAACCACAAGAAGTTCTAATCGAACAATTTCAAGATCATATTTTTCTAACTAACTTTTCCCTAACCCAACACACTGCACTTGCTTAATGCCTACAGTTAAGAAATACAGAGAGTTTTCTTTGTTATTTGAAACAATATCAACTGTAAGTACCATAAATGACTCGGTTACACGCAGCTCATTTGGTTGGCACATTATTACAAATACAGCACAAGCATATCTAGCATCAGAGGCCTCTGCAGGAACCAAACAATAAGCAAACAATAAGCAATGCTAGCACCATGCTGTGGCCATCAACCTCTGTTGTAGATCTCTACTTACCACGATACAGAACCTAACTAAATTGAACTTGATGAGGTTATGACCTAGTCACAATACTGATTACGAATACAGAATACGACGCTTCACAGCCTGGATTTTTTTTCTGAGGTGCTTAGTAACAGGATGCTGAAATACATCTGACATGTAATTAACAGAAACATTCAGTGCATTTGTCAACAATTGCAATATTAAGACCATGGGCATTTATGAGCTGGAGGCTATATTTGCTGTAAGTCCTAATAAGTCGAAAGAAAGGCCAGAGGTATTGAATGTCACCTTTTATTGCAACATAATCACACCACATGAAAAATACTTTCACAGCGGCCCAGTTGTCATCTTTCTTTGGAGAGAAAACACAACGTATAATGGACCATAATGGGATCTTAAATTAGCCTTAACTGAACATTTGGCCCTATGCTCAAGAGACGTTTTAAACAATGTCACTGCTGAAAGTTAGTTTGATGGTGTAATAAACTTGTCTGCATGCAGATAGAGAACATAATCCTGTAATAAGACTTTCTGGCCCACATTCACAAAGATTTTGAGGAATACATCTTAATTCCTAATTTTCATTTATACACATGTACCTGAAAAGTACAGTTTATATCAATTATTCCTTCTCGTTAAACCACTGAGTAAAACACATTGAGGTTTTAGAGTACATTGTCATTATCAGCTGTTTGGTTTTTGGACAGTAATCTACTATTTTAATCTGGGGTTTTATTTATTGTTAATGCTGTTTTTGTATCATATGGGATTAGGTGACACCAGTTGGGCTGAAGAAGGCCATCTGATATCGTTCTCTAGACAAGCTGAGTGACCTAAACAGGAGTGCTGTTCCTGTGTGCTGTCCAGAGATTTCAGTATAAAAGAAGAACTCCCAGGCCCGGTCAGACGTTTTGGACAGACGGCCTGTCAACGTAGGTGAGTCTCCTATCACACTTTATGCCGTGATCAGTGATTTTACTGTGTTTCTAAACAGTGAGTGTTTCTTATGCTAATCTGATTTTGACTTTTTCTTAGTACCCACATAACTTCATCACTTGGCAACAAAAAGGTAAATGACATTCATGCAAATAGTTACTTAATTAGACATTACCTTTTCATTTTGATGAATCTTAAAATGTCTTTCTATTAATTCAATTTTTTATGTTTTATTGACACTTTAATTACAGAGGCGCCATGAGACGCGGAAATGCAGTGTTTTGGCCCGGGCGGCCATATACCTCCGGAAATCTGAAAGGGAGAGGGTAGAAGCTCAAAAACCTCCCTTTGATGCCAAATCAGCTTATTACGTGACGGAGCCCACTGAGATGTATTTGAAGGGGAAACTAGTAAAGAAGGAAGGTGGCAAAGCCACAGTTGAAATTCAGGGTGGGAAGGTATGTAGACATCTATCTTTATTTCATTATGGCACTGCACATTCTAAGAATTAATTCTTCACTGTTTTGGTGCAGACCCTTACTGTAAAGGACGATGACATCTTCCCCATGAACTAAGAATTCAGAGTCAGAATTAATTACACAACATGAAGTATCGAAGGAAATGTACTGCATCATAGTCATTTCAGTCAGACATCACCAGTATATCCTAGTTTAGATTTTTTACAGGAAAGGTTTCAGAAAAGCTGAGAGGGCTTGTACAAATAATTTAAGATACGAATATAAAAAGTAGCTAATATTCAGCAACATGAATGCCATCATGCTTGGAAATATTTTGTAAAACAAATTGCAGAATGAAAATAAAAATTGTAAATCCTTTTTTACAGATGGTAAAGGTGGAAAGAAGGGTGGCGGCAAGAAGAAGGGTGGCTCCTTCCAAACTTCATTACAATCAAATATAATTAAATCACTGTGTAGCTTGAAACAAAACAAGTTTTGGTTAAATCAATGTTATTACTTCTATTGTCAGGTATTCTTCAAGGCTGGACTACTGGGCACGCTTGAGGAGATGAGAGATGAGAAACTGGTTGAACTGGTCACAATGACTCAGGCTCTCTGCAGAGGTTTCCTCATGACAAGAATTTGCCAAAATGATGCAGAGAAGGTGGGCTGATTGTTTTGTTATACACTGTGGCACCGCCAAAATTAATGAAATAAATGATTGATGTTGGAAAATGTTTGCTATAGGTGTGCGATGATACAGTAAATGTAATTTTTGTTTTGATTCATAACTTTTTTTGATAACAGCATGTTATATTATTATCAGTGCAGGTTTAGTGTCATGTACATGGCCTAATTTTACTTCATGGAGCTCTTGTACCTGTACAGTAACAGTGGTGGATTAACAAGTCCAGTGCAAACGTAAAGTGTGACAGCCTTACAGTGAGGCTTTGTTTTCTTGCTCATATAGACATTGAGTCAGTCACTGCCAAGGAAAAGTCATGCTATACAAAGCGACACAAGTAAAAGACGAGTAAAAAAAGATAACAGTAGATTGAGTCTTGAAAATACTGTAAATCTTTACATAACTGCAGTTCTTGATCAGATGGACCACATGATCTCTTTCCTGCTCTGGAGGAAAGCGCAGAGAAGAAGTGGCAACTCAGCTCAATGGGTTCACATCTGGGGTGCCTTTTGATGGCTCTTCCTACATTGGCCAGGAGTTCCTCAGCTAAGACTTAGTCACAGAGGTCAACTGTCCACAACACAGTATCCTGGATTCAACAATGCTTTGTTTTTAATTTGTTGAGATTTAATTTCAACACACAAAAAGGGGTGTAAGGTTTGCAGCAATAAGAAATAGTTTTTTAATAATAGCATCTGTTTCTAAAAAACTGGATTCTTGTTTCCCCAGGGAGGCAATTTACTCCATCCAGTACAACATTCGCTCATTCATGAATGTCAAAACTTGGCCATGGATGAAGCTGTACTTCAGAATAAAGCCTCTGCTGAAGAGTGCAGAGACTGAAAAAGAGATGGCCCAAATGAAAGAGGACTTTGGAAAGATGAAAGAGGATCTAGCGAAGGCTCTGAATAAGAAGAAAGAACTGGAGGAGAAGATGGTGTCTCTGCTGTGACAAGGTTGACAAGGTTAGATATATCTCGTATTGTACTGTTTCAACATGAGGTGACAGAAAACACTAATTTATTTCTTACTTTATAGGTTCTTGCAGAGTGGAAACAGAAGTATGAGGAGAACCAGGCAGAGCTTGAAGGGGCTCTGAAGGAGGCTCGCGCTTTAAGCACAGAAATGTTTAAAATGAAAAACTCTTATGAAGAAACTTTGGACCACCTGGAGACCTTGAAGAGAGAGAACAAGAACCTGCAGCGTAAGACATCAAATACTGCATGTGATTGTTGAAATTAAATGCATTCTTTACTTCTTCACATTGATTGAAAAACAATCAATGTGAGTTGAATTGTTTTTATAAACATAACACTCAAAATATTGAAGTTTGGGCTCCTGTGTCTGGCCTGATCTGAAAATTTGATAAATAATTTATGCAATACTATAATTACACTTAAAAAATTGCACATTGCATTATGTGAATTTTGTGTTGTGTTTTTTTTTCAACAGAAGAAATCTCTGATTTGACTGAACATATTGCTGAATCAGGAAAGACAATTCATGAGCTTGAAAAGGGGAAGAAGACAGCAGAAAATAAGAGAGCAGAAGTCCAGATTGCCCTAGAGGAGGCAGAGGTATTAAAATCGACTTGTTTGCAAAGAAAAAGCCAAACGAGGAACTCTGGAGTTAGGAATCTTGGTCTTGATCCAAAAACTGCAACTTTCTGTATACTTAACAACTTCTAAATTCTGAAGTTATCCAACATATATTTCATTTTGTAGGCTACACTGGAGCACGAAGAATCAAAGATCATCCATATCCAGCTCGAGCTCACCCAGGTGAGCGTGTGGCAGAGGAACTGTGCTGCTTTAATGACATCAGTCTGTGATGCCTACAAACCAAGAAGTAAAGCACTCCTGCTGTCACAGCACACGCTGCAGATTGAGTTGAATATTCACTGTTGATTACTAGCAAAGCTCCGGAGCCCCAACAATTGTATTTGGAACAGCCCTGGTGTTAAATCTACAACTATCCTGTAGCAATCTCCCCTTTTGTTTTACAATTGGCTTACAAATTAGGTCTATTTTCTTTGATCATTCTGCTCGTTGCCCTTCTTACAATCACTTTATGTTTAGGCCGCGATGATGGCAGAAGAGCTGAAGAAGGAGCAGGACACCAGCTCTCATTTGGAGAGGATGAAGAAGAACCTGGAGGTGACAGTGAAAGACCTGCAGCAACGTCTGGATGAAGCTGAGAATCTCGCCCTAAAGGGCGACAAGAAGCAGCTCCAGAAACTGGAGGCTAGGGTAAGTTCATTTGTTTATTTAAGTTCCTTCTTGTCTCTGTGCTCTTGCAATTTGGATTTGAAATGAAACCATGATTGGTGTTAAATTGCTGAATTTCAGCTTTAATTTCAGGGCCTTTACAACCTCCAGCATTTTCTACTTGTAACAAACATGTTACCCAACAAGCTCATAAAAGATTTGTCATCTGTTCAAGCACATTGAGTCTTGTCACTATAAAATCTGCACCTCTTATTGTCAAGGTCCGAGAGCTGGAGTCGGAGGTCGAGGCCGAGCAGAGACGTGGAGCTGAAGCTGTGAAAGGAGTCCGCAAATATGAACGCAGGGTAAAGGAACTGACTTACCAGGTACAGAGAACCAAAACCTAAAAGTTGCATTGTGCACCAATTCAATTTGAATAGCGACACAACTACTTCCTATCATAAAATGTGTGCTGCTAAATTCAAACTGGATGTGGAATATGATTCAAACCCCTAGAGGGCATTAATTGCCATCATATGTCTGAAGCTCCGATATACTGAAGTGATTAAGAGTGGATCACAGCTAAAAATAGGCATTCTGCTGTTGCAGCTATAAATACATGTGGTTATGTGCATAAATTAGTATGACCAAATGATTGGTATTTATAGATATTTTTACAGATTTACACTATGAAAAATTGTAAAGAGAAGGAACGCTTTCATGTAAACTCAATTCCCACAGGCAGCTTGATTGACAGGACTGAAGGATTCCCGACAGACATTGTGTAACTGTATCTGCTGTTGTGCTTAAATTCATATTGTCAGAGTTTGTAGCATGTTTGGTTGCTCTTGACAATTTTTCTGAAGTGGCTTCCTGTTGGAAGATGTCTGTTGGATCGTACTGCATGCTGCAAAGATCCTCCTAAAACACTTTGGGAGGATGGTATTGGCTTTAGTTTTGGTCTGACAAACCGTGCTCTATACCGCCTCTAGTTTGAGGAGGACAAGAAGAATATCGCCCAACTTCAGGATCTGGTGGACAAGCTGCAGCTGAAAGTGAAATCCTGCAAGAGGCAGTCTGAGGAGGCTGAGTGTGAAATATTTGACACATGCAACGCAAATAGGCATCACACCAGTGACACCTTTCCTAACCTAGGACTGACAGCATAATGCGGCGTCATCTAATGGTTTTAATCTGATATGTTTGGAAAGATTGTTCAACATATCACCTCTTTAACTTTATGCTTTCCAGGAGGAGCAGGCCAACACTCACCTGTCCAGGTACAGGAAGGTGCAGCATGAGATGGAGGAAGCTCAGGAGAGAGCTGACATCGCTGAGTCTCAGGTGAACAAGCTGAGAGCAAAAAGCCGTGAGATCGTCAGGGTATGTTCATTTTATTTGTTTTCACTCTGTACACCAGTGATATTCATTCAAGGTACTTCTGTATCTTTACATCTTGACAAACTGTTTAACCACTAACTTCTGACTGTCTCTTTTGTATTGATTCAAAAGGGAAAGGAGGGTGAAGAATGAGCATCAGACATGACACGGTACAAGAAATCATACAATATGATGTTTGTGTCTGATGTGTAACAAGAAATATATCTCCATGCAATTGAATAACCTTTCTGTGTCATTAATATATTGGTTTCACTTCACACTTAATTCAACGGATGTATGGAGGTAATAAAACACAAACATTACAAGCAGAACGTTCAAATGTAAGTCATATTCTTAAAGTACACAGAGAATATTTTTAAACAAATAAGCCAATGTCTCAACTCTTGAGGATTATTAAGTATATACTATAGTGTTACAGAAAAACTATTTCACTCCATTAATTCACCAACTACATGCAGAGATTCATTTAGCAGAAGACAAGTATTGACATTCTTTATACATTTAAAGAAGTAAATTAAAAGGAATGAGACGAATCATCAAACTTTTATCAGGAGAACATAAAGCTAATTACTAATAGTAACACTGGAGATAAGCAGATTTTGAGTTGTGTATTTGGTGTTCAAGCGTGAGCAGCAGCGTGTGTAGCTCCACCATTCAAAATAGGCGGGATGGCAACTGTCACCTGTTATCATGTAAAAGTCCTTCAGGTTAGGATAACTGCAAATCTTTGCCTCGTGGTGATAATGTTACTGACAGTCTCGTGACCTTACAGTTTTTATGGGCTTCAAAACACATGTTGCACCGTGTCAAGTTATGATGGAAATAGACCTATTAGTGAACCACAAGACACAATGATACCTCAGTGTGTCTGTGCACAGTGATGGTAACTGGTTAGGTAACTACACTGTAGGTTAAGATTCATTATAGGAACTAAAGCATGTTGCTGTCCACTGAATAGCCAATAAGGAAATTACAACCTTACTTGATGCTTGACAAGTTTTCGGACTTAAAATCTTGATCTGCATCAAAAGCAAAATACTTTACGTGCAGGATGAAGTAATACTCTAGTACTAGTAATTCTTAAAAGATGAAGTAAAGAAAACGATAATAATTGACAGAATGAATCTGGTTGGCATGTATTTCTCAAATCCTATAGTTTAGAAATGGTTGTATGAAGAGTGGACTGGAGCAAAAGGACAGAGAGGAGAAATGAATCAGTATTTAACTGTTAGAAGGAATGAACAAAGACAAACTTAACTGGAGGAAGGAATACTAACGCTTCCAAATAGACAACATGAGGAGATATGCATTTGTCTAGCATCAGATATTTTCCTCTAACATTTATACAGAGGTAACTACTTCTTAAATAGATTTAATATTGAGGCATTATGGGCAATGTGATGACGTTTCTTGATTTGTCAGGTATTTGATCACTTATTAGCCAAAAACAGACATTTCAAACTGGTTTAACAGATTTTCTGGAGAATACAGAGATGTATACGTTGATGTTGTAACTACTTCTGCAATGATAGACAGTTATATCCCTATCTGTTAAGGACTTTTTACTACTTTATGTGCTGTAAGTCGTACATCACGATTTCCATATTTTCATCTTTCATTCTGTTATTACTTTTATTTGAGTCCTAAAGCTTGTTGGACATTCATATAAATTTGACAAAAGTGATTGATTGCTCCGTCTCATTAATCAGTAATCCTTTAAAATTGTGTTTATTTATCTGGTATCAGTGGAAGCAGTTGCTGCAGCAGAGCGCTGAGTAAGATTTGACACACAGTGAATAAACACAATATGATTTTAAGACGTAAGACTACGATATATTGTTATAAGCATCAATGTGTTTGTTATATTTAAGACTAGGACCACCGAGGAATGGAGTGTTTTATATCAAAGGTTGTCCCACAATAATACTTGAGGCAGTGACAAATGGCTGAGCTCTGAGAACATTGCTGAGGAGACAGCTATATTTGTATTTCTTCCTAATAAGCACACCCGGGAGCACAAGAGATCAGGTTTCACATTTTTATTGAATATATAGACCTCTTTCGTAGGGTGTGAAGTCTTCAGTATTTAGCTCCTAATGCCCTTTCCCCATCTTTGCCAATTTAGGGTCATCTTTCAACAGGGAAAGAATGCAAACTACTACACATCATATAACTTGATCCCCTTCTTGCCACGCACGGGGAACAAACACTTGCCTTAAGGGAAGGTCAAGCTACAAGCCTGGCCTTGTCTTCAGTTCATCTGTCAGGACACACTGTACAACAAGACCATTTAAAGAAAGGGTTTATAAATACATCCGCGCCCTTGAGACAACACAAGTGCCTGTCTCAAACAACCTGGAGACACAAAACTAATCACCTGTTCACTGAGGATTTCACATTGGACAATAGAGCTGTACGTTTACTGACAAATAAACCAGGAGACTTTATGAAGCACAACACGTAGCACTTCTCAGCCACCAGCCGAGTCACAAGAGCCACCAGGATAGGTGATTGTTTCTCATGTCTGATACGCACAGTTGAGTTGTTAAAAACAAACCTTTAACTTTGACTTTCAGCAGCGAGGAGATGAAAGGGTCATTGACTAACAACTGATTATTGATATGGTTGTTATTTGAAGTAAGCAACCTTCATGCTTCATTTAATGATAGAAATATCCAGTTTAAATGATCATGCTCTGGAGTTTTTCTCCTTTTCAAATAATTTGTAGTTCTTCAGTTTTATTTTGCATTAGCTTGCTAATCTTTTTTGTTATTATTTTGTAGGGGAGATTTAATTACCTTTATTAGATATACAGCTTAAGATAGACATAGAAAGGGGGCGAGAGAGAGGGCGACATGCAACAAAGGGCCGCAGGTTGGATTTGAACTGCAGGCTGCTAAGGCATTATCAATAATGAAGGTATAAACTAAAAGTCAATTCTAATCAGGTTAAGTCAAAATACTTTATTTATTTCCCAAGTGGCAATTTCCGGCAAGCAAGTGTGCTAACACAAATACACATAAACAATTCATTACAACAATGTAAATATACAAAGGTAACAGTGATAGAAAGAGTTGAAATACACAATTTTTAATGGTGGCCATGTCGAACTCATCAAACAACCTGTAACCTGAATGAATCAGATGCTGTAGTACAGTTGTTCTGTTTACATCACACATTTTTGTAAACACTGGTGTTGTACTTTGAATCATAATCAGTTGAGAAAGATCCAGATTACTGTTAAAAATCAAACTCAGTGTATTTGAAAATGAATAAATTAGGTAAAGAACTATGAGCATTTTGAAATATTCCAATACCTCTCTGTGTGATGTGGCAGAGAGAGTGTGATTATGTTCACAATATCATATTTCAGAGACGGTCTCTAAGCTGAGGCCCTTAGACCCAGCTAGACAGCTCCCTAATAGTCATGTATACAAATATCAGCGGCCAGAGAGAGAAAACGTGGCGGCAACAAGTTTTCACTTCTTAAATATAGTATGTCCTGTTCTTTTACAATCGTCTATTACTACCTCTTTAATTTCTGCACCACTTACAAATCATTTGTCTGGAGCCCCCATGAAGAGTCGATTTGTTTAGATTTATTGAAAATTACTGTGTTGACACCTAAACACACTTGTGAGAAGAGTACCGAATGATATTGTAGTGTTTAAGATCTCCTTCCTTTCCATGTCCCAAGTTCAAACAAAAAGGTCAAGGTCCACACCAGCTCCCTTCACTTTCCAGACGGCAGTAAATCAAGTTCAAGTTTATTTGTGTTGCACATTTTCATACAAATTACAATGACTCAGACTGCAGACTTGCTGGAAAATAATAAGTACATAAATAGAAGGTGGACCCCTGCAATCATTGCCTGTCTGTTCCTTTATGCACTATCATCAGGCCAATATATGGCTGTGGAGCCTAAAATATTCCTCAGTAATTGCAAAAATTCTTTGGGATAATATGTCATGTCTAAAAACAGGACTGCTTTTGTTAGACCAGTTTAAAGGATATCTAGTGAAATTACTTCTGTATCCCCCCAAAAAATGTGCCAGAAAGGATAAAATGTCCAACTTTTATTATCCCCTCTCTATTGCACAAGTGTGTTATATCTTCTATTATGTGGTTCAACTGTGGAGCTGTACATTTGGGTAGCACTATTTAGTATTCATTACAATTATACAAACTTATAATAAACACGTTATAACACACAATGTAATTGTAAGCAGATATTTATTTATGTTTATTAATATCCAGTATTGTCAACAACTTCTGAAGACATATTTTACATCATTAAAACTGTGTTTTACTATATTCATAGTCATTCGTTATCTGTTTATACACCAGCCTCATTTATGTAGTTGTTGACAAATACATTCAACACTGTAAAACTACATTGTACATTAGTATGTTATAAGCCATTTATTGAGTGATTATGTACTGCTCATGAATGCAAAATACTCAAAGTAAAGTGTTGCCAACATTTGTAACAATCTAAGGCATACAAAAGTTCTACTTGACCCCTTGTCATACATTTCTCACTCGGAGAGTGTGATGCCGTGATGTGGCATTTGTAATCTTGTCACGTTAACTCAAACGTTGGCCCTGCTCCAGAAGATTCCCACCGTTGGTTGCCATAACGAGATAATTCAACACTTTGGTAGGCTTTATCACTCAAAGTGGAGTAGTTTTTAGGATTTCATGTCATGACACTGCTGGCAGAATGTCACACTGCAAATTAAGTATAGAAATACATATTGTGTATGAAAGTATTGTGAAATAGTAACATTTTTATTTGCAGTTTTGGATGTAATGACACTGACATAACAGTGGCAAATGGGATTTGTAGTGGACTGTTGTATCAAGGGAACTTCAAAGCAAATGCCATCACCATTTGATTGTCAAGTTATTTTCACAGGATACACATGTCATGTTTTACTGGATCTCTCCTGGATGCATGAATTAAACAACAAAGGAAATTAAAGCACTATAAATATGAGTATTGTTCTTCTTCCCATTGTCCTTCATTCCTACAGAACAAATCAAATTAAGTTTAGGATTTTGTGAAACGCAGACCTCGTCGAGTGTTTCTGCCATCATGAGGTATCATTATTTTCACAGGTTCTTAGATT